ATAGCTCCACTGTCCTAGTCTGAAATCGGTTTTGGTTCATGGTAAAACAATGTTCAGTCGGGTGCTTGAAATACAATGGGAGTACTTTATTTGAAGATTTTCAGAGTTTTTTTTTCCAGGAACATTTGTTGGTGTCGCGGAACTCTGCAACAAAACGGGACGGACTGGTTTTACGCGACACGACGAACAGAAGGCTCGCACGTTTGCGGTATATTGCGCAACTAGCATCTCACATGTGAGTATTTCATTTTTTATAAGTTTTTTTTATATAGCTGATGTTTTTGGAAAGCTGGAAAGAGCTTTTCCATTAGTAATTCGTTTCTTATACATGCTTCATTGGGGTTTTTTTTGTGAAAGATGTAGCTCTTTGAAGCCCTTAGCCCAAGGCTCTCCTTGTTTTGTTCGCCTGGGATTCCAGACGAGTTTGTTCGACTGAGAAAGGCCTACTGTTTGACGCATTGCATTTGTAAAGCTCTCCAGAGATGGGATTGGGGAGGGGCAGGGCTATCTGTCATCCTAATTGAAGGCTGAAGTAACCTTTTTGCGCCACCTCAAGGTGTTCTAAATCATTAAACTCGCTTCACCTTTTGACCTATTTGCTTCCCTTTGTTTTTTGTTCTCTTTTCTTAACTGTGCCATTTCCTGTAGGCTTGATTTGGGCCAAAATTACACATTAATTGGCTAAAGAAGGGCACTTGAAGGACTTCTTGATCACATAAGAATCCCCCTTCTGCACAGTTTTGTTCGCTGCCGACCGCGTGTCTGGGGAGGGCTGGGTTTGACGCGTCGCCAGCCCATTTTCCATCAATCGTTGCCGCTGGCGCCTTCAAAAGTTTTGGAGCTTGGGCTGGCGCCGCGCCGCGTCATCCCTCCCCCCCCCCCTCCCTACACAGCCCAGCGTCTCAGCGAAGACGACTGCATATCTATCGCAGTAATCCCAACTGTTTACGAGAAGTTATTTTTGAGGGAATCTCCTCCCTTCTTAGTCAACTGGTGCTTCTTCTCCTGAGCTGTGAAATGTACTTTGAATAAGTTGTAATAAAAAACAGCGGTGCTATTACAAACACTACTTGCTTTCTTGCCACTTTCAAGTAATCTTCTTTTAAAGTGTAATAACATTCCACTGCCCCTCGCCTCAAATATGCAGCATCTTTGCGCTTTTGCACCCATGATTTTTTCAACAGAACCCGGTTTCACATATTCGCTCCCCGTTTTTAATCTTCTCGCATTACTGCGAGTATCATTGCTGAATTTGCATTTCGTTGATGGAAGCTGTATATTGTAGTGTCTGCTCTATCGAAAAGTGCAGGAGGCTCAACGCCGCTCGCATATGGCCGCTGAGCTGCTGGTGCAAGGATCCCAGTTGCTTGTATGTTTTTTTTTCTTCTCTTATTCAATTTTCTTGTCTTTCTTCCTTTTATACTGATTCGTATTCAGGGTATAACACCGTTATGTGAAACACTTACGGGGGTCGTGCTTTCCGGGAAGGGGGTCGTATTTGGTCGTTGTTGGGAGGAGGGGGGTCGTGGCTGTGGCTTTGAGAGGAATTTGCCGCGTTGTCGCCGTTGTTGACTTTTTCGCGATTTTTTTTCGTGATTTTTTTGCTTCATGTGTACTATATACCCCACTCGACCCACGCTGCTCTCGCGCTCGACGAAAATCTGTGGGTGAAAAACTGGAAATGTGGGGAAATTGGTAGACAGGTGTTGGGTAAGGGGGGGGGGGGTCGTACCAAGACCCTCCCTCTAGGGGGATCGTACTGGCACACCATTTCACACATCACGATGCTGTACCCGGTTCGTATTGTTTCCTCTTTCCACTCAGTATTCCCTGTTTGCAGATTTCTGAAGAAGATGTCAATCGACTCACAAATGAGCCCATTAAAGACTGGAGGTATTGCTTAAGTTCTGTTTTCTTTTAGTCATTTCAACTTCTTCTTTCTTATTGGTTTTTTTGTTTCGAAGGTATTGGAGTCCTCATTTTGACTGCTTCTACTTTTCACCGCGCTCTATTGGTGATGGCGATGCTTACGTTGCGGCATCGATGACCATGTTCGAAGTAAGTGGCAATATTTTGCCCTTTTTTATCGATTTTGTACGGCTGTCTTCTGTGTGGAATGTACTTCGTTTTGATGGATCGGTTAGGTCGCTTTCATACTTTGCGACTGGAGAGATCAGGAGAATCGGCGGACTAGGATAATTTAACGTTCCCGGATGCCAACCAAGGGACTCATGGAAACTTAGCAGCTTGAAGAGCTGGACAGAACTGAAGCAATGTGGGGGCTTATAAACTACCACAGGTGAACCTGCCTGGGTTTGCTGGGAAGATACGGTATTAGCAGCTACTGCTCTTCCCCAGCGAGTTTGGCAGTATATATGTCGCACACTGTCTTCAGTGCTAACCCCATGTGCTCGCTGTTCGGCAGCGTTCATACTAGGATGGTAGCGCTTCGGTCGCGCGTTTGACGCGATCGACGCAGTGGAAAGCATGCGCATCGATCGCGGCCGACGTGCTACCGAAACGCTGCCGTCGCGAAGTCTGAACGCTGCCTCTGAGCTACTCAGTTTTCTTGGGAAAGTATAGGAATCGATCTGTGATTTGGGGAATGGAAGGTTTGAAGAAAAGGTTCCCCAAAGGAGGACATGAGCACGATCGATCGACTCCAGCTGCTTTTTTCCGTAATTACTTGAACTTGTGGTCGACAGACAGCTGGAATTCAATTTCCTTAGTAGCATTTTCCTATTTTGCTCTCTGCCCCCCCCCCCCCCATGTGCGCATGACATTCTTTGATCCCCGTGACTTACACATTTCAACCTTACACGCATGACAAGTGGCTCATCTACCACGGAAGGCCCCTCCCCTGGAAAAAGCTCATCGCCTAGCTTAAAAAGTGTTTTTTTACACCTTTTGATGCACTGGCACTGCAGTCCTCTACTTCTCTGTGCTCTAGCCTTTCGCGTCAACACCTCAACCAGATGTTCCATTTTTCACAGGACCTAAACTTTTTGCACATGGCGCTGTATACAGACAGCTACGGTGCAGCAGCGTCCAAAGCAACAAAAAGTGCAAGAAACACCTGAGTAGCGGGGATAAGAGCTTCCTTCAAGGGGGGGGGGCTAAGGTAGCCACTCATCATGCGTGAAATGCAGGAATGTCGGAGGTCACAGTGGTCACAAAACGCCTCGCAGACGAGAGAGTGCACGAAGAACAGAAAATTGACGCGACCAAAGAGATCAAGTTCATGCCGGCGTGAACCCCGTCGCTGCCGCATTCTCCAAAAGGTCGAGTCGTCAATTTTCCGATTCTCCCGGGTCCCAAAGTATGAAGCGGTTTTTAGTCATATGAGCTGAGCTGCGTTCACACTTTGTGTATGAGGAGCACTCAGGAGAATGGGCGACGGAAGAATAGAGTGGATAGGCTTTGGTTTCCAGCGTAACGCGTATTTTGTGGACAAGTCAATCGCACTCGATCCTTTGCCATCCATCCATCCCTAATCATTGATACTCCAGATCGTTACAAATACTTTTCTCCCCGCGCATTCTCCCCGATTTCCTATTCTCCCAAATCTCAAATTATTCACATTCGCAAAGTATGAATGCGGACTCAAAAAGGCTGTCCACATTCGCAAACCATGAACGCAGCCGATGTTGGCGTAACAGCGGGCTGTTAGAGGAGTTGTGCCAGTGACAACTACGTTCTAATTGAGTCAATTTTTTCAGGATCTTGGATTTAGAGCAAGGTATAGCATGGATAAGCGAAAATTAGCTTCGTTCATTTTACGGGTCGCCAAAGGATATCGCGAGGTAATTTCATTTTATTCTATTCAATGTTTCATTATTTTTTCCACGTAATTTGCACTTAAATGCTTGTTATTGTGCCTTTACAAATTGATCACTATGTAGGAAAACAATTGATTGCTTTTGTACTTTTACATTTTGAATTAATTAAGGAGGGGAGTCTGAAATTTCGCGTCAGCGCCTACTATCTTGCGATTTCGGGAAAAGAAAGAAGCATCAGGATGAAAGAGTCGTTTTGGACATTTCAATTTTTTTATGAATGCTGACTTGCCTGCCCACTTACTCCCCAGCTGCATCCCTCCTAATATCTTAAGGTAACTCTAGGGCTGAGCTGCGAAGTCGACGCGATGTGCCTGCAGGAGGCGCCGGCCCATGTTTGCGCCGTGCAGCCTAATTGTTGGCAGTGCAGTAGAGAGAGAAAGAGAGGCTTAGAGTTACGAGCCACTTCAACACATTCGCACGTTAGTCGCGGAATGTTAAGGTAATTCACTCATTCTACCGGGTTTCCCATCCCTCGAAATTGCAGGCAACTAGATGCAGAATTGCAGCCTAACCCTCTCCTGAGAAACATGGCGGTTGACTGTATTTTGAGGTCCATTGTAGGTTCAAAGTCGAGAAAACTTTCCGAAGCTGCGTTCAAACTTTGCAGTGGAAAGCGTAAAACACCATACGTAAGAACCAACCATGGAGGAGTATCGATCGACGTAGGCCGCTAGTGTTTTAGGAAAGTACAGGAAAATGGGAGGAGTACCAGACGGTGTGGTTAGCTGTCATAGAATATAAAGATCTGGCATACGCTCACAACGCTGCCGCAAAGTATGAACGCACTCCAACAGATGGTTAGTGAATGTGAGAGTATGCCCGTTGATAGTACAACAATCCTCTGCACTGCCCCTGAGTTTTTTGGTCAATGTTCACATCGGCAACGGTGGTAGTCTCTTTCTTTCCAAGGCCTGTTCTATAAAAAAACGGAACGTGTCTTGAACGTTTCCTGGAGGTCCGCTTTGATTTCAGATCGAAATCGTCGAGAAAATTTCCTATTTTTTTACGTTTTAACTCCCGCAAATTTGCCTTCCGCCACTCCCCGTCCTCTCATATATGATTTTGAATCAAATTTTTGTCGAAATTTTATATTAGTTCTTGTGACTTTTGAATGAAGAGTTTTGTTTGCTGATATCATAATATTATCTGATTGATTTTTCCAGGTACCATATCATAATTGGTCACATGCGTTTTCCGTGGCTCATTTCTGTTGGATCAGCCTACGGACCCCAGCTGTGCTTCATGGGCTTGATGAATTGGAGCGGTTAGCGCTGTTAATTGCATGCCTATGCCATGACATTGATCATCGGGGCACGACGAATGCATTTCAATTGCAGTCGGTACGTTCATTTCCATAATATTCAACTTTTCTCTTTTCACTTACTTAACGCCCACTGGGCTATCATTTTTTTCCTTCGTCTTTTTTATTTACTGTTCTTGATGCGTGGGTATTATAGTAGTTTGTCTCGGTATATGGCCCAAAAATAGCCAAAATAGCCCAAGCTAATCCCCTTTGGGGGAGGTGCATTCTGAAAACTTCTATAAAAGTTCTGAGTTCGTTTGTAAAGTGTCGTAGACTCTTGGAAAACTACGGAGGGGTAAAGTTCTGTTTTGCCTGCTAAAATTACTGAAGAATACTGACGGTGAGCTAGCGGAGCAGGAGTAAGTAAAACAAGCTAGAAGGGAGAGAACATTGCTAGAAAACTATTATGACTCTGGAATAGGTGAATAACTGTAACGTCTACTAGTGTCCATCAGCGATCAGCAGCGTCCGGGAGTGGAGAGAGGATGGGGAAAAGGAGGGTAGCAGACCGCTGTTAGAGAGTACGGGGTGAAACGCGGAAACAAGGATTTGGTCGCCAGCCACGCTGCTTCTTCTCCCGACGCAGTTCTGCGACGGGGGAATTTTGAACTCTTGCTACTTCTCATGGACGTGTCGAATCGTCGAATGGGGAGCTGTAAAATTGAACACGGGATACCAGTCAAAATTCGCGGAGACCATCTGTCGACTCTTGTAAAGCAGTGAAATGCCGTTCAAACACTGTTCACCATGGCGGCTCGACGAGCTTGCTCCAGCTTTACAGGAGTCCACAGGTTTCACGAACTGAGACTTGTGAACGGGAACTAGTGAAGAAAATGCAAACCCTCCCA